TCAAAAGAAAAGTTTTCTGGTTGGATCCATGTGCAAAAGGGACTAGAAAAAGTACCAGAAAACTAGCTAGAGGCTGAACTTGAAAGCAGTTGGACGACGTTAGGAAAGTGCCTGAGAAGTAGTACGACGTAAGCTGGGGAAAACGGTGCGCTAAAATTATTTTGATCAAGCGAAACTTTACCTAAGCCAATCTATTCCACACACACTGTTCCCGAAACTGTCTTTTGAAAGTAAATCTCCAAAAAGTCATCGTGCGCTGTAACTGGTTCTGTACCGTATGTTCGATATACAGACGAAGGTTCCGGACTATAAGCGAAAAGTAAACGAAGCTCAAAGACCGGATTGTAAGCGAATATACGGCCACGACGCTCCGATGAGCTGCCTGTCAGAACGAACGGAGCTGAAACACGCGTATTCGGCGACAACAAGAGCAACAGTGTTCACTGGTACATCAGGTGGGCGCCAGTTTTGTGTATGTTGCTACACAAAAGAGATGTGAGGGAGATCAGAAAGACGAGTCCTTCGTCGTTGTACAAGTTTTCTGTGTCTACCCGGCCCAAGCTGTGGCGAAAGATACTATCGGAGTGTACTATCAGTGTGGTCGGGAAAGGTCGTACCAAGCGTTACTTCTACTGTAACTTGGTCGTTCTGGGTATTCCTTTTCCAGACAACTATATCCTCGTGTTGCGGGAGGTAAGGAGGCAGTATCATGATGGTGTGTTACAATCCATCGAAAGAAGCAAGGATATCCAGCATTGACGGCGCGACCTTCATGCCCGAAGAAGCCATGTGATGGTTAACGGCCATAAATTTCGCACAAAACCCTGCTTGTATGGTAACAGAATTCGACTAAGTGATCACAGCCCAGGTTTCGCGCAGGACAGCAAACCGGCTGGCTCACTTCATGGGCACCATTCGCAAAGTGCAGCACGGATACAATCAACTAATTAATTAAAGGTGTTATTGCCGGCAAAGCGGAGCACTCCTGCGAACGCGTGACCAGGATACTACCAACAGGTATGCTTCGTAATTGTACAAAATATAACAATTTAGCCGGTAGCGTACTGGGTTTGTGCGTTTGTGTATATGCAAGTGTATGTGTTAGCGAACATGGTGCTTGAACTTGTGAGGTGTGACTGTATTCGTGAGTTTCTTTACTGTGTCCGCTATCGTATGAAGGGAGCAGAGGTAGGCTAGGAACTGGCTGACGTTCCTGAAGTGGGGATCCTGCGGAAGGGGAAGCGGCAGTGAATAGTTAGTGGCGCGTCCCATCCGCCTAGTCGCTGTGTGGTCCAACGGACCTTTGTGGTTTTATTAGGGAGGATGCTTGCCAGGCGAAAACCCACCACGTCATGTAAACCACCCGCCGAAATATTCCCCGAAACGCTATTAACCCGAACGACTAGGCTGGCAATTGTACAGCGCAAGCGTAACGTCTCCACGCCACGCTAGCAGAGAAAACGAAGCTTCAGCAGTTTTTCTGGAACTCCGAAAAAATGGACGGACATTTTCCAGTAGCAGGCAGCGAAATATCCATCCGGATGATAAACTAGGGTTCCACGCGGTACCTTTTGTGCTGAATTCGCTCTGTATATCCTGCGATGGCAGCACAGGATGCCAATTTGTATCAGGCTCCATAGAGCAGGTACGACGTGGAGCTAAATATTCCAGCCAATAGGCAAATAGCAAGCGAAGCTCAACGACCGAGGTGTAATCGACTATACGACAACGACACTCCGATGAGCTGCATAACAGAACGAACGTGGAAACACGTGTATTCAACGACACGATAGGAGCAAAATTATTCAAAGGTACAAGCGCAGTTTCGTTCCAGCTGAACGTATTGATGGTTTTACTGTTTGGTTCGTCACGAATGGTATACATGTCGGTAAGCAGTTTAAGAAAACAGGCACTAAAAGTAACCTGGGCTAAAAGAACCAGCGTGGTTGCACTTGCATTACGGCGGTTGTGGACGATTTTCTACCGCCTGCAAAGCTATCGTAATACGTGCTGAATGCTTGTTATACAGCTTTGTTTAAGTATAAGCAATATAAAAATATGGGGAACACTTTGAATTTACAAGCTTTGATCTGAGGTTGCATAGACGGACGTTTTTTCAGCTAACAAAAAAGCGGCAGGCATAATGCGAATATAGTGTAGAGGTAGCGTGTCGGGTTGTCATCCTCGCAGCTGGGGTTGGTATCCTGAGGCGACACAAGTTCAAGTTCAAGTTCAAGTTCAATTTGGACAGGAACGGTAGGAGAATTCCCATGTGTGTTTCTTCTTCAATGCGTCGTTGAACCAGGATGGAGTTCGCGGGAGCGGTTTGGAGCCGAGAGGAGCCAAATCAATACACACGAATCGCATAACGGTCAACCAATCAATGCCCACGCGGCCTGCACTAGCAGTCCCCACTGTACCGGCCACGTGAATAGAATAAAGGTTAAGAGAAGGGAACCAACAAAACAAAATAATGGTAATTGTAGTACAGGAGAGAATGTGTGGTTAAGACAATAATAGTAATAGATGTGAGGAGCCAAGGAAATATATGTAGAAGTTAAGAACTAAACGGAAAGGTCTGAAACTGTAACCCAAGGGCGTCGAGTCGATGTTCAAACTCCTTCACCGTTGGTGCTAACACTACTTCGCTGGGTAGTGCGTTCCATGAGTCGATGACCCTGCGTGACAACCGAACGTCAGCTCTAACGTGATCAGATCTAGGCTTATGCAACTTCAGAGGGCGACCACGAAGAGATGACATCTGAGCCGGCTGGAACAGTACAGTTAGATCAGGCCCAATCTTGTTGGTCAATATACGGTACGTAAGAATCAGGTCTCCCCGAAGGCGCCAATAGTGCAGCGAAAAGATCTGCAACCTGAGCAGCCTATCGGAATACGAGAGATGCCTCAATCCTTGTACCATTTTCGTACCAACCCTCAGAACTCGTTCAAGTGTCATCTTATCGCATACCAAGCATGGAGGACAGGCCTGCACGCAGTACTCCAAGTATGGCCTGGCGAAGGCTAAGAACAATATAACGAACATTTCATTTGTTATAATGCCGAATGACCTGCGGATCATCCACAGCATTCGGAAACCCTAGCGGGTAGCATTTGTCCAGTTCTCGCTGGATTTGAAGTCAGAGGATAACGAGATACCCAAGTCAGTTTGTTCAGTCACTTGACGCAATACATTTCCGCCAAGTACGTAAGAAGTTGTGGGAGTGCTTGATCCTATGCGCAGGACCGAACACTTTGCAAGATTGACTGGCAGCTGCCACAATTCTGACCACTCCCAAAGCTTGTCCAGAGCTGTCTGTAAAGCCGTGGGCCCAACATAACCGCTCACTGTATTCCAAAATTTTAAGTCAACCGCAAACATAATGGATGGTACCTTAAGCTTCTCAGGGAGGTCATTGACATACAATGCAAACAGTAGAGGTCCGAGAACCGACCATTGAGGAACACCACACAGAACGACTTGTCTGAAAGACAGTCCGGAACCCACTAGGACGCTCATCTGCCTTCCTTCCAGGAAAGCCGAAAACCACTTCAATACTTGGCCTGAAACGCCGTAGGACTCTAGTTTAAACAAAAGACGGCAATGCGGTACAGTGTCAAAGGCTTTAGAAAAGTCGATGAACAAAACATCCATCGCCTGTCCTTGGTTCACAGCCTCAGCCCAGCACTCTCGGGCTACCAACATGTTAGTCAAACAGGAGTGGCCTCTGCGGAAACCATGTTGAGACGGGTTGAGCAAACTGAACTTAGCTAAGTGCTTTTCCAGAGCATCTCTTACAAGCTTCTCTAATACTTTCACCAGTACGCTTGTTAGGCAAACCGGTCTATAATTTTCAGGTAAGTGCTTATCACCCTTTTTGAAAATAGGGCACACGATAACATCTCTCTAGTCAGCAGGTAGGGAGCAGCTACGAAGAGACTTCTCACACCATTTGTACCCGCTCCGGCGATATGGATACTAAATTGGAAATATTACGTAAAGCTTTGCGGAAATCAGTGCGTAAGAATGACATACAAATTAAAGACTTTAAAGTGGCAAAACGTTTGCACATCAACAGGAAGGTCTCTGCATTACATCAACATGCAGGCACATCTACCTAGGTTGGAAAGTACGCCAAGTCACACCTTGCGCAACATTGCTTACGACAACTAGTTGCGTGCCACATTTCTTTAAGTTCATGCTCGTAAGAAAGTATAAACAGCCACATCGTTAAAGTAGACTTTCCTAACTGTTGAGGCTGACGAGCATTAGTCCTCGTCCCGCAACCTCATGTTTATGTGGTTTAATGAGATGTTTCGACGTCACGAGCAGCATTAAATTGACCATCTAGTTTGCTGTTTGGCCTAACTACACAGTTGAGCAAGTTTAAGTTTGAATACCCGCCGTTCTATGATCTAATTGTTGCAGTCCAAAGTGCGCGGGGTTAACAATTCCCCGCTACTTCGTTACAGAGCAGTACTTTCAATTTACCGCCGATTAGGAAAACCGAAGAAGGCAGTTGTATGTAAAAGTCTGACTAAAAAGACACCCTCTGTTTATCTTCTTTATATTAAAGGCTTACGTTTATAGATAAATACTTAAAGTGTATAAATATACAGAGCAAGACTTTTAATGCGCTAACTACTTCCATCATTATAAATGCACGCTGGTGTTACTTTTGAGAAATCAACTTAATATCAAGCATTGTGGTTGTGGTATTCAGTTATGGATTGTACAACTCTTTCCAACGTAACCCTTTGAATTTTATGATGGGGTTTTCTTTCCAGGACCTTGTTACCTCTTGGAATGCACACATTCCTTACGTGCCTTTATGTTATTCATCTGCGCTTCTCCCTGGCTTTCTTATCGCATATGAATTATTTGCATGTGTTCCATATCTCTGCCGTCTGCGCTTCTGTAGACCATCAAATCGGAGAGCTATTTCTATTATTTCTATGGTGAAATTTGTAAGTTCTTTATTCCCATTACTCGAATTTAAGGTCTTTCTCGCCGCGTTACTTATTTCTACTGGATGTCAAATATGTTTAACTATTGGGACGTATTATGAAAGCACCTGGACCAGATCTTTGTATCCGACTTCCTTATTTGTTTTTGTAGTAAGTCTGTGTAAACGTCGAGCTGAAAAATGTTAACTATATCGTGGGCAATGCGTGTTTCCTACTAATATTTAATTACGTATGTCGTTTGTGTTTTGCGTCCTTGTTGTTAGTACATAAGTTCCCTGTCTTACTGGCCTGTTGGCAGATAAACAGGTGTGGGCTGACAACTGCTTTTACATAACTGACTTATTAAAAGAGCTGGTGATAGATGCCATTAAAAACGCTTGTTGATAGTTTGCTAAACCTGTCTCAACTTGGTACTGGTCTGACTTGCTAATCCAAAACTGTAGATTTTGTCAAGCCAATAACATTTTGTGAATCGACTGCCTAGTTTTCAACATCGTCCCATGCTCTCGCCTTCTGGTTAAACTGCGGTTCTACGGCGTTTCTGGCTGTCTTGCAATTGCTCTTTTCAACAAGCTGTCCTCATTGGTGTTTCATAGGGATCGGTTTTCTGCCCTCTTATATACCCTAGGATATCTAGCGTACTGTCTCATGTCTGCAGACTATCTAAAATTTTAAACTAGAATGTGATTCTGCTGCTTTTCTCGTTTTGCAGTGGGTTCTTATCAACATTTTATTATGGTCAGATTTTCGGTACTTTTCTATGAATTATGCTGCATTTGCATCAGCGTATGGAGCCTTTATGCATCCCCAGGGTAGTACAGCAATTAACCCAGCTGGTCTACTTTGACATTTCGCTGTCGCCAGACTTCATCTCCATTAAGAGCTGGTATTCTACTAGTCGCATTGGGTTCCGGATGCCGTGTATAGTCCGCGGATCATTCCACGTCATAACGACGGGAATATTTACTTTATCGTTTTTAATCTCTATTTTCCATACCTAAACTACTGCGTAGGTGCCTGTCACTCATCCTTGATTCGTAGCTGTATAGCGATTGAGCAGGTCTTAAGAACTGGCTTTAATTGGTACGCAGCTTAACGCCTCTGTCATATCTCGATCGGCTACTCGAACTTTAAATGTTTTCATTTGACTATAAGCGCCTTAGGGATCACTTTGTTCTGACTTATCCTATCTTGAATGAATGAATGGTCAGACAACCCTGATCTATCACTGTTATTTCTTCCTGCTCGGATACCTACTCTTCGGGTTCACCCATTTAAGTTGCATAAGCTCCGATCTGATCAGTCAGATTTATTCCATGTAGTTGTCGTTTCTTAGACCGTGCTGCCCAAGGATGTGGTATCAGGGTTAGTGAAAGGCTTTTGGGCATTAATTGATGCTATTGATCTCTAATTACTAACCTTCCGCATAGTTCTTGGATCTCTTATCTCCTTGTTACCATTACTTCCTTTTTTGTTTCTGTACCGCATCAGCGTCTGAGAAATCTGTTTAATTTTCTGCTGTTTCTCTTCTTTCATCTTTTACTCTTCATGTAGTCGGTAGAGCTTGGAGTGCTAGGGTAGTTTACGTGGGCATTGCTGGATTGACCGTGATTATACCGGAAGTTTTGATTTGGCTCTCCGCATCAAATTGATTCAATGAACTTTGTCCTACTTCAACAACACGTTCATAAGGGAATATCTAGAGGAATTTCCTACTGTTCCAGTCCCATTTAAACTAAACACTAAAGTGTGCGGCACATCTAGTCGGCAGACGAATTCTCTCTATTTGTGGCCGTAGGATTTCCCAAAATCATACATTATGTCTCACTTTTAATGTTGTCTTGCTACTGAACGAACTCACTATCTTAGTGACATTTTAGGCTTGAGCATTCCAATGGCAAATGCCAGTTAAGTTGCTTATAAATTCGTATTTCTGCTGTCTGTGATGAAGCGATCGTGTGCTTTCTGCGTCAGAACTGGGAACGTCTTTACCTAGGAATTATTTGCCTCAAAAACATAACCCTTAAAACAATCTCAAAAGATCCCCGGCCTCCGTAACCTTCTAGCACTTCAAGTTCTTCGTGGGAGCTTCAGATTACCAGCAATCAACATTACCTATACTTGAAATAACGCACAAAGAAGTGCCAAAAATTAGCTATCATACATTTTCCTGTGTAACCACTGTGTGCTAGTTTTACCACAGAACAGCTCGGCTCGTGATTGCACACCTCAACACTGATAGTTGATGCTGCACTTATCTGCCGTATGCGACTCAACTTGCAGCACTTTTCTAAGCTCTACTATCTTTTTTAAATCATTTGGCTATTTAACTGCCATTCACAAGTTACCTTCCTACTATAAATAATAAAATAACGCGTCAGCTATACGCCGTAACGGCGGTTTGCTACTACGCGACGACCACCAGTCGCGCGTCGGCTGAGTATACAGCGACGACGCCCACCCTTCTGCGGATTCGAACCGGAGACCTTGTGGTTTCAAACCGGGTGCGTAGACCACTCGGCCAAGGGCCGGCGAGATATTCTTATCTTAGTGGCAGAATCACATCCCTTGCTATCATGTCATCGCATGTTCGCTACTGCAATGGAGCTGCGTCCTCACTGTGTCTACACGCCAGCTTCCTTCTTTCATCATATTTCCTTCCTTTTTGGTTCTGTAAACCTGTTTATCAAAACGGTTATCTTTCTACTTTTGTACCCTGTACTGATTGATTGAGTCTGTTTACTTCCTATGGTTAGCTCTCAACATATTATCCACACAATCTTCCATCTGCGGATGAGGCCTACATCTCTTTAACGTCGTCCCACCAGCCATGGGAGGCTTGACTGCACCACGTTTTCGGTCCATCGCCTCAAAATATGCCTTCAACAACCTCTTTTTCCCTACAAGTCCGCATTATGTTAATCTCATGTTTTCTTGTTGTTGTTCCGACTTATACTTGCAAAGCAGGCCTTATTTAAATAGTTGTTTTCTCGTCTTCGAAATGATCGTTAAAGTGCATCCGACTCAGGTCTTGGCCAGTCTAACGAGCTTCGTCACAACAGAAGCACGGATATTGTAGTTCTGGCTGGGGATCTGAACGCCCAAGTTAGGAAATTATCCACCGATGAGCTGCATCTGAGCCGCCAACATGGTGTACCCTCCCGTAATGATAACGGTAAGCAGTTACTTTCGTTGTATGAAGAAGTTCGTCTATTTCTCGCAAGCACCAAACCGACGCAACACCCGCCGGAGAGTGATATGGTGCCCATCTCTCTTGCCGCTCCGCGTCAGGTGCATTCGGAGCAGATCTTCTTGAGCTTACGCCTCAAGTACCGTCGCATAAGTTCATAGATCTCCCCAATAGGTTAATGGACCCCCATGTACCGTCTATCTTAGATATTGTGTTTCATAAGTCACTCGATTTTTTTGTTGACATTACTTACGGACCTACACTGGGTGCTAATGATCATGCTTGTGCTTTAGTTTTACTCTGTCTAGACGCTACCAGAGTGCTCTTGAGTCTCGCCCCAGCAAATGGCACACAGACTATCAATCAATGAGAGCCAAGGCTTCGGGTTTCCTTTGTGAGATATCGGAGAACGATGCTGTCTAAGTTTGGGATAAATTTAAGTCCTATCTCACAAAGGTCTCTGCTCCCTTTATCCATGTCACAAAGAGTAAGGAGGCTCCAGCACAGCCTCCATAGATTCCACTGGCAGGCACCTGCTCACAATGAGGCTTAACTGTTGGCGGACTTACCGAGACACTCTATCCACCGGTGCCTATGACAGGTACCGTAAAGCTAGAAATAGGTGTAAGCAACACCTAAGGAATGCTGGGCCCGATTTCGAGAAAGGTCTAACAGACGAAGCTTCCGCGAATCCAAAAAGTTCTTCGTCAATTTCAATGTTGTTGCGTGACAATGATACTCATGCTTATGCTGACTATAACAACGCCTGCGTACTTGGCAGCAATATGCAGCAGCGTTTGCATGAAAAACCTCATTGACAGTCCTTGAGCTAGTTTCCAGAGTCTCAAAAGCTTCAGGCCTAGCTGAATTTCTTGTAGCAGAGATGGAAATTCGTAAGCTGCTACATGGGCTAAACGCTTCAAAGGCATCTCGGCTGGATTTAATCTACCTGAATCTGTTATATGAGTTGGCTACGGAACTAAGTAAACCGCTTGCTATCATGTTTTAGAGATCGCTTGACAGCTGTGCATTCCCTTCAAGTTCAAGTTCAAGTTCAATTGGGACCGGAACAGTAGGAAAATCCCGCGAATGTTCCACCTTTGAAAACGTCGTTGATCCAACAGGGAAACCGGTGCCTTGATGTGCCAAAGGAGAGCCAAATCAACACACACGATTCATATGGTCAACCAAACAATGCCCACGTGCCCTGCACTAGCAGTCCCCGCTGTGCCGGCCACGTGAAGAAATGGAAAAACTGTTATCTGATCCCTCTTCAAAAATGCTGACGAGTCTGCTTGCTAATTACAGGCCAGCTAGTCTGACGAGTGTAGTAGTCAGACTCTTCGAGAAACTAGTGAGTGATTCACTGAATGGTCATCTAGATTGGTTTAATCTTATTAGCAATGCACAACACGGATTGCGGAAGGGACTTTCGTGCCTGACGAATCTATTGGTAGCTCACGAAAGTTGGGCGCATGCAGTGGATAGCGGCCACGCACTGGACGTGCTTTTAGTCGATTTTCGAAGGCATTTGATACTGTACTTCATTTGAGACTTGCGCAGGAGCTGAGCTCTAACGGTGTATCCGGTCGCGCTTTTCACTGGGTGGCTGCATTCTTGTATGTAAAGGCCAGTGTGAAAGCGTAGACCCCGGCCTATCATTTAGTCAATCTATCCTCAGTGGCGTACCGCAAAGCTCAGCCCTTGGACCACTGCTGTTCTCTATTTGGGTGATCTACCCTCGGAAATTGAGGTACCATCACTACTATTCGCTTATGGCCTGAAACTGGAATATTGTCGATGTTCCTGGGCGTTCTGATGCTATTCAGCGTGCCTTGGATAAGTTTTGTGACTGGTCTACTTTATGGCTACTGCCCATAAGCCAGACAAGTGCTCCCTTCGACTTGGAGGAGGTTGTCCCTCTCCGAAGTACTTAGTCGGCGGGGTCGAGCTCCCTTGT